ATATCTTTTATATTCAAAAGCTCCTCGCCTTATTAAAACCCTTGGGATTTGAGTTGATGAGAATCTTTGGATATGTTATTTATTAATAATAATAATAATAATACATTTGATTTATATAGCACACTTTAAAGACAACGTCATCTCAAGGTGCTTCACAAAGCTATAAGGAAAAATAAGTAAAAATATATCTAAAGGAGCATATTGGATCAAATATGGCAATAGAAACAAATTGAAATAAAAGGTTAAGAGAATAAAAGGTTTTAAAAATAAATAAATAAATAAAGTAAAGGACAGTCAGTAAAATGTGGTGTGGAACAGGTGGGTCTTGAGGCATTTCCTAAAAACTGAGAGTGATGACTATTATTGGATTGTGACTGATTGGATCATGTCACCTTGATTTAATTGAAACACAGGAGCTGATAGATTGTCAGACTGTGAGGAATGACAGTTTTATAATCCACTTTCCACATTACAGTTTTTTGTGCAGTTTCATTTTGTTTTCAACATTCTCCAGGTTCAGACATGCGTATTTACCTAAGTAGCGGCCAGCAGAGGCTCTAGAGTCCACAGCAACGATGACTCCATGTTTGAACTTGAAAGCCAGGGTGGTCGTACCGTGGTTCAGGTCTATACACACACCCCCTTCACGGTTGCAGGATTTGAGAAAACCTGATGGCTGAAGTAAAACCAAAAGAAAGGTGTCAGTGGGACGCCTGATGTTTAATGGCACTGTATCTGCGTCTGTAAGATAATATTAGTCAATTATTTACCAGAACTAAATATAATTTGACAATACCTCGAAATAGTTAAGTAAATGCATGATATTACATTTCACAAAACGCAGATACTGAAAACCACAGACGCGTAAAATAACTTGATCCACAGGGCGTCTGACGCGTCATGCTTGGGGCAGATTTACCCGTAAAATGCAGTATATTAGAGCTTTTCTACAACTAAGTGAAACTATACTTACGTCTACACCGACAGGCACAGCGAATTCCTGAGTTTTGGTCCCGAAATTGTAGTGGTTGGTTCGGTCTACGAGATGCGTCTGTCCAGATGGAAGGATCTCTGCACGAAGTTCAGCATAATGCTTAAAACCAGTTACTTGGAAAAGAGCCATTATGTATTAAAGATGATAAACTAATTCTGTTTTTTGGTTTCAGTCGTTTTCAAAATGACAAATGCGACTGGTAAAGCGTCAATGATAATTTCCTCGTTCTGTGCGTGACAAAGAATTCGAAAGTGAAAGGGTTTTAAGACTTATTTTTCTCATGTCCTCTGAAAAGACCATGCAGAATTCTTCAACTAATACTAATAGTAATAATACATATCTATATAAAGGTTGTTTTAGTAACACAAAAGTTAATGGATCAAAATAAACCCCAAACTCCGAAATATTTATTTTAAAATAACAAAATGTGTCTCAAAAACGTATAAACCAATCAGAGAGCACTATATGTGTTTCATCATCAGTTACTAACCGGAAAAGCAGCCTTCAGGTGTAGGAAAGCCAGCACAGATACATTTCGACTTGTGTTTGCATTATTTTATAAAAAAATACACAATCTAAAGCAGCTATGATACAGTTTGACATGTATTTTAACAAATTGTGCATTAGCCTATAAACTCTTACTGGGTATGTTATCATACTTGTATGGGAGAGGATTAGGGTCATATTAACTTTTTTGAGATCTGACCAAAATGAGATTAAAGTCAGAATTCTGTGATTAAAGCCCTAATCCTCTTCTGTATATAAGTGGCTGCTGTTAAGAGCTTCAAATATAAATCAGCAAATAATTACAAAACATGACAAGAAATGAAGCAACACAGGTCACAAAGAATTTAATTTAAGATGTTTTTATTTAATCCTACACTCTAATACATGTCTCAGTCTTCTCAATATGGCTTTGTAGACTCTTTTAATTAAGCCCTGCAGTATACTGAACGATTCCATATCACAGCGAATCATAGCAACAGAGTAAAGAATATATGATGACAATGTAAATCAAATTATCTGAGATGTTTTATTTCTTTTATTTAACATGTAGTGAATAACCATGGCATGAAATTAAAGCCTTTTTCATTGTACTACTAAATGTTGTGATTGTGCTGTGAGGCTCAGACTGTTTCCATCTGCTGCACGCTCTCCTGTACCACCTCCAGCTTTAAGGGGACTACTTTCTCCGTCAGAACCGAAGTGGTGCCTGGACGATATCTGTATTTCATTTTCCTAGGAGACAGGAAGAGATATATATATGGAGAAGCGTCAATCATCACATTCCAAACTATTGTTTTGCTTGTAGTGGAGTAGTAAGTTGTTAAGTAATTAAAAAACTTAACATTACATGTGAGTCGCAAGCAAAAACACACACAATAGACAATGAAAAATCACACTGCTCGGAACAGACTCAACATATTTTGTACTGTCTGAGAAGGAAATCTGATTTGACATGGTTAAACCTAAAATCTTCTTTAGAGTCGTTCTGGCCTATACCTGCTGTCTTTGTACTCTGACTCCTGGAAGGGTCGGATGTAGTCCACTCCTTCTCTGGTGATGACACAGATGTCGATGTTGTTTCCTGAAGCGAGGTCATTCATGATGCCCGCATGGATGGCAACACGCACCAGCTCCTTCGCCGTATCCAGCTGAGAGTTTAGAGAAATGATGGGGAAATTAGACAACCAGACACATAGAACACGAAGGAGAAGACCTTCAGAGACATTTCAACAGTGAGGAGAATTCATTTATTTTTCTTACATTTTCCCAATTGTTTGCATATAATAGAGGCTGATTTGGCCTACATCACTGCAGATACTCAATTAAATATTCCCTAAGATCCCCTTTAAAATTGTTTTGTGATTATATTGAAACGATCCCGACTAATAATCGTCACAATATGTAATATGTGGTGTACCTCCATGTCCTGTTGGTACCTGTCCTCTAGAATACCAAGAGCAGCCAAATCACCAGATCCTGCGTGAACCAAGTGAAATCAGATAAACAGATTAGATGAAAAGGTAACAAATAACTGAAGAACTTTAAAATATATAATGTAGTATAGAAAAGTAAGTTATAGAATCAAATTATCATAATCTCCAACATGAAATAAAGCACTTTTTGATCCCGATTTGATAGTTAATAAATCTATACAAACTATTGTATTTCTCATTTTCCCCTTTTGTCTTGTTGATTTAATAACAATTTCATACATCAAATTACACATTAGCAACCTAAGAAGAGCATCAACAAATCTCCACTGGCAAGAAATCCTAAGAAAAGGTGACACAGTGATAATGCTGCCAAAACTTGTTGAATAGAGTTATGTCACTCACCCATTGCAAGGTAAGGCACCTTATTAACACTCCCATATGGCCCCACTGTGTACAGATGGTTCCCAGTGCAATCTACTCCTCCTAGTATCAGACTGGCACCGATTTGGCCATGGTACCTTAGGAGCACAGAGATGGAAACATACAAGGACTGATGAACATCACGTGTCATTCACACATCTCTAAATACCAGTATTTGTCTGTGTGGAACACCAACCTGTACAACATATCCTGTAGTATGTTGACCGCCATGACGAGACGAGGGTTCCTCCCGCTGGTCTGAGAGAAGATGGTAAGGTTGGAGGAGAGAAGATCTGTGGTCTTCTCTGTATCTGCGGCTGTACCTGCTCCGCAACAACTATGGAGAGAAGAATAATTAGCATTGAGAAGATTGAGAGGGAAAGAATAGATACAAGAAAAAAAGGGAAAAGTAGAGTAAAGGATTATTTCTCAAGCCCCTATTTTGCCTAAAGGTTCATAGAATCCACCATAAAAAAAACATTCCGCAGTAGCCTCAATAGACCACAATGCAATGCAACAACACCTTGCAGCTTGAGCAATCTGTCATGGATAGAGTGTTAAGCTTTCTTTTGCATTTTTCACCATTGGACTGTGTACTTTCTAGCCATAACTGATTTTACGTGGCAAAACGTAATACTTATTACAAGATCACTGCAGGGCATTCTGGGATATATAGGGAGTAAAGAAGGGAGTTAATGGTCAAATGTGCAACACACCAAACAAGAGTAACCTTGTTCTGCAAAACAGAGCCTTACTATATGTTTGGAGCAATGTAATGGATCTTTGAACACATCTTGTCGGCCACCACTTCCCCGGATGTAGCCCTGGTGTCTGCTCCCAGCACCACGCCATCCTGCACCAACACAAATGGGGTTATAACGTTTATTATTCAAACTATATTTATGTGCCTTCCATGCGTTACAACAACATGTTCATACAAACAGTTCCCCTTTCCACAAAAACAACCCTCTGAGGGCCAACGGGGAAGGCACTCACACACACATTAACCATTTGAATTTTTAGAAATCATAGAGAACCACAAATAATATGAAATCTGATTTTTTCAAATAGTATGAAAAAAACACATTTCGCAGTACTGTTTTTACAATGTTCATGTTAAAGTTATGTTTTTTAAACAAAATAATGCAGTTGTCTCATGCAATTAAACTTTTTCTGAATGTTGCGTTTTTGGGGAATGAATAACAATGTTAATAGTTATATGTATTGTACTAAAGTAAATGTCTTGGTGCATTAATGTTCAGTCAATGCAGTTTACACAGCTTTTTATAGTCACCTTGAACACCACTCCTGCAATGGTGGTGCCTGTTTTCATAGGTTTAGGTGTTTGTCCACCATCATAAAGACCCTCTAAGGCAGCATTCCTAATGAGATGGAGGGATGAGAGTATTATGGAGGGGATCAACTGATAAATATACGTTATAATTATAATCACCGTGAAAAAATAATCACTACCCTGCTTTATGAACTAAACTGATAAGAAGAAAAAAGTTACTTTCACTTTTGATCCCGGTGCTCGGCGTAACCGACAGTTTAATGTGTTACTTTCTGTAAAGATACAGTCAACAGCTCAAAATACATAAATAAGAGACTCATACCTTGCTGCGTTGTCGAAATTAAACCCAGGTAAAGGGGTTTCGAGGATATTTGATAGCGCCATACTGGATACTGGACTGCGGCTTCTCTGCGCGTCCCAGCTCGCCTGAGGTCGCTGTTCTGAGCGTCACCTCTCCTCTTCTCTTTCGATTTTGGAGTGAAAATGGAGAAACACTGCACGAACTCTCAAGTCAAAGGAGTCAGCACAGGGGTGAGTAAATCTGGACCACTCGTATCTTTTTCTATATAAGAATACTAAAGCCTATTGTGCGTAAAATGATCGTTATTGTTTTCACGAATAAACAGGTGATGCTAAACCTGAATAGTAACACGATGTTAAGTGAAATCGAGTGGACACTTCATGAGTTTTAATATCAGTTATTGAATACTTGTCATCTTTAAACGTTTTTATTCTTTACATTTCTGCAAAATCAGCAAATGGCTTTTCACATTTACTTTATATATCCCCGAAAACAATTCATTCGCAGAACTCCAAATCCCAGAGTTCATAGCCTTGTGCAGTGGGCTGATAGGATAAGAAACCACGAGAATAAGGAAGTGTGTGATGCTGTATAACTCAGTGTGTGTGTGTGTGTGTGTGTGTGTGTGTGTGTGTGTGTGTGTGTGTGTGTGTGTGTGTGTGTGTGTGTGTGTGTGTGTGTGTGTGTGACATATCTGGCTTAATATAAACTTCTTCAATGCTGAATAATGACAAATTATCTACCTGTCCCCTCAGACCACCATCCTGGCTGCCACCTTTAATGGAGGGGTTGTGATTTGCTCAGATTCCAGGGCTTCCATGGGAGGGTGAGGATGTTGTGACCATAAAATACCCTTAAAGTTGCATTTACTTTAAACACATTCATACAGAATGAAAGGGGGACAGCTTAATACCATGTATGATAAAGATACACAGTGGATACACAAAAGCCAAGCTGTAGGAAAAGTAGGATCGTGACAGAACATTCTAAATAAATACATAAATTTTCGTGACCCATTAATGCAGAATAAAGGTACAATGTGTTTCATTCTGTAAGTACAAAAGGCCATTTTCAAGTCATGGCTTCATTTGCAGATTAAAATGTGTTTAAATAATATGACAACTTCTCAAGACCTGCATGTTACACCTTTCCAGAAATAAACGACATTTAATTTGATCTTAAAAACGTCTTAAACATTGTTATCGTACATGTTCTTGCTGTGCTACTTTAAACTTCTCCTCCTCAACTCAGAGTGAATTATTGTCCTTTTTACTTCATTACATTTTATTTGTCTCTCTTTAGAGAATATGTTTCCTCTAAGACCATCAACAAGGTGATTCAGGTTCATGACCGGATCTTCTGCTGCATGGCTGGCTCACTGGCAGACGCTCAGGTCGTCATCAAGGCTGCTAAGTATAACTTGTCATTCCACAGGTGCGTGCCATACACACACAACTAATTAAAACATGGGCACACATCGGAAAACATGCTCATCATCACATTTCTACATTGCATTGAAAAAATATGTTATTGATACCACAGGATATTATGGGAGAAAGACAATCATACCAAGATGTGTGCACACAAAATCACAATGCTATACGTACTCCAACACACCTACACACAAACTATAAACACACTTAACTCACTTAACAATAACTCCATAATCCAAGAAATAGAAAAGAAAAGAAATTCAATTTTCAAAGTGTTTTAAACTTTAAACAGCACATAGTTTAACATTTGGCCAACCTTTGTTGACCCCCCCTTATCTACAGTGTCCAGATGGAGAACCCTCCTCTGGTAATAGCAGCAGCATCGGTGCTGAAAGAACTGTGTTACCACAACAAAGACGAGCTACAGGCCGGCTTCATCACAGCAGGCTGGGATAAGAAGAAAGGACCACAGGTGGGGGGTGGTTGTGAAGACAGTCAAACATCTGTGATGGTGGGGGTACACAGGAGCTCCACCTTGCAGCATATAACAACATTACTAATATTCTCCTTCCTTTTCCAGGTGTACGTCGTGTCTCTAGGGGGGATGTTAGTCCCTCAGCTGGTTACCATCGGTGGCTCCGGCAGCACTTACATCTACGGCTACGTTGACGCTAAATACAAACCCAACATGAGCAGAGATGAATGCCTACAGTTTGCCACTAATGGTACTGTGTCACTTCTAAATACATTAATAAAAGTAGGTCAGGAGGTTATATCAGGATTAGAAATGTTTAACAGGGAAATAGTGTTGTGAGTTCATTAAAATGTGTGTTTGCTTTAATTGAGGTTAAAAAAGTACGACACATTGCACAGAGATTGCTCAGTTGTCTAATTACCTTATTATGTATATTTAAACGAAAGCAACCTTTATTCACTGGAAATATTCCAGAGTTCAGTTTAGAGGAAATGTATGTTAAATATTCAAGACTATGCAGTGTTTCATAATACCGCTCTTTATGAGAACAATGCTTATGTTTGCACTTGAGGAAAGGAGTTCAATGAAATATATTTGTAAGTTCAATTAAAAATGTGTTTGTAGTTGTGAGTTGGTGTACAAATGTTACAAACTGAATATGTTGGTTCTTAAACTTGACCTTTATTTCACCCACTTTTTGTTCCTGTCCTTTTTCCTTCTCTTCCCGCCCTTTCTTCCTCCCTCTCTCCCTGTGCTCACAGCTCTTGCTCTGGCCATGGGCAGAGACAACGTTAGCGGAGGCGTGGCTCACCTGGTGGTGGTCACTGAAACTGGGGTGGAGCATGTGGTTGTTCCTGGAAACAAGCTTCCCAAGTTCCATGATGAGTGACGGCCTCTGAACAACCAATGAAATTACATTTTTGTTTTGTTTGTAGCTTAATGGAGTAATTATTCGAAATCCATAATTTCATTAGTAGCCTACTATGTATAGGACTGGGATTTAGACAGTGCGTCAGTGTATGACTTGTTTATACAAAATGTATACAAAGCTACAAAATTCCACTTAACTCTAAGAATATGTTAATTCCATTATAGACATCTCAATTATAAATAAGGTTATACATGTCTTCTCTGTGTTGAAACCAAATGTTTTGTGTAGAGGGGTTGTAGCCTACTTGAAGAAATATGTGAAATGAGAATAAATAAATAACACATCTTACAAATTGCATTGTTCTTCATCTCTCTTTCTTTGAGTTGTGTGCTTCAAATGTTATAGTTATGTAAACTAAAAGTAGTCGTAATTCAACTGCATGTTACATCTTTCCATCTAAAAACTATATTTTATGTAAATCTGAAAACTCCTTCAGTTGTCAGGTCCTTTGTAATCACTCATTTTAATACTGCACTAAGTTAAACAATTGTTGTTCTTGTATTTGTAGCCATAAAGTCTAATGCATAGACTACTTTAAGATAACACTGTCCTTCACATTTCAGTGAAGCGCAGCTGTTTGAAACACGGGTTTACAGTTCGCTGCAGAGGAAGGACAATTTAACTTTCAATTTCGATTTAATTCAGGGAAACATGGAGTCGGTCTGATGAGTGATTGTTGAGTTGATTCGGCACGTCGAGCAGTTTAGAATCTTTAGAGGAAACATCCGAGAACAAGAGCGTGTATAGTCTAAAACGCTGCTCGGTTGAAGTTTCCGTGTCAGTCCGCTGTCCCCTACCCTTTCAGACTAAACCATTGTTGTTGTCGTTACCGGAGTCTCACAGTGAATCAGCATGGAGGCAGAAACAGGGCCCGAATGGTTGTCCGAGGAGGTGAAAACCGGAGTAAGTAAGATTTGGACAGTATTTTTTGACAGATTTTGTAGCCTGTTGTGTATGTGTAACGTGCTGAAAACCTGTTATATCTCAGGCCAACTGCCGGCCACATTGTTATGCATGGGATGAATTGTAAATAGCCTATGTATCGATTTTACATCTGATTACAGACCACAATCATTGCCATAGAGTTCAAAGGAGGGGTCGTGCTGGGGTCTGATTCCCGAGTGTCTGCAGGGTAAGTTTGTACACTAACTCAGCTAAAACACACGTGATTGCTTCACTTCTCATGCAGAATCCTTCCACCTCTCCATATTTCCTCACATGCAGCTTCTCATCTTCTTTTGGATTAGATACAACACTGTCATTGTCTCCATAATATACAGTTTAGCATCTAACAAGAAGTGCAAAAGTAAGCTGCAGGTTAATGTAGCCTAAGTATAGTGATAATTTAACAAAAACAGTGAGGGATTAAAGATGGTGGAAGAAGTAAAAAAAGTCAAAAAAGTACTTTGTTACAAGTCAAAATCCTGCATTCCAAATCTTACTTAAGTTAAAGTATTAAAGTATCGTTATTAAAATATACTTTCTGCTCTGCCACCTCTCTGCATGTGGTTGTGTTTGTGCATGTCCTCCCCTGTGTGTGTAATGTGTGTAAACACAACTGAGTGGGGAAAAGAAATGTCCCTGTAAGGGATTAATAAAGTATGTCTTCTTCTTCTTCTTCTTCTTCTTAATCTTTTAAGCACCAAAACTTAAACTGCTTCCCCCATTTCAGAATTGAGTTACAGGGTTTCTATTTTGATTATTCATGTGTTTTTTTAACAACTGTAGAGCTAACAAGTTTATTTAATCATTGAATTAGATTTTGTATTAGCTAATAATATAACCTAAAAAGCAGATAGTAACCAAAGCTGTCAAATAAATGTATTGTAAAAAGTACAATATTGGCTTCTAAAATGTAGTGGAGTAAAGTAGCGTAAACTGAAAATACTCAGAAAATTACCACAGTACCTCAAAATTGTACTTAAGTATACTTGAGTGAATGTACTTTTGTACAAACTAACACTGGGGATTACATTTATGTATTTACCATGTGAATACCCCTTATAACAAACACTTGTTGAGGTGAACTACCTCTCTGAAAGGTCCCAATGTGTTCATTTTGATGGGGTGTCTTCTGAGTGGTTAAACATTGCTAATGGTGTTCCTCAAGGTTCTGTTTTAGGTCCACTTTTATTCTCTATGTATATCAATAGTTTAGGTGAAAATGTGGATGAAGCTACTTTACATTTTTATGCGGATGATACCCTGATGTACTGTGCAGCTCCCTCCATTAAGGAGGCTGGTGTTAAATTACAGGCTGTTTTTAAGATTATTCAGACTCAGCTTAAGCTTCTTTTAAATGTTGATAAAGCCAAGGTAATGCTCTTTTCTAAAGCTAAAAAGACTACAGACACTGCTTTGGATATTGTTACTATGCAAGGACAAGTACTCAAAGTGGTTATCTCTTATAAATACCTAGGTATCTGGCTTGATGATTGTCTTACTTTTAAACTGCAGGTCATTAATATGCTTAAAAAGCTGAGGGTTAGACTAGGTTTCTTTTTCAGAAATAAGTCCTGTTTCTCATTTGAAGCCAGCAAAAAGGCTATTCACTGTGACCTTTTTACCTGTGCTGGACTATGGTGATTTGATCTATATGAATGCACCTGCCCATTGCCTGGAAAAGTTAGATGACGCATATCACAGTGCCCTGAGATTTGTTACTAACTGTAAAGCACTTACTCATCACTGTACCCTGTATGCCAGGGCAGGTCTGCCTTCACTAACTGTACGGAGGCTCAGTCATTGGTACATGTTCATCTACAAAGCCATGTTTGGTAAACTACCAACTTATATCTGCTCTCTGATCTCTCGACGAATTGAAAGTACTTATTGCCTGAGATCTCATAATGTTGTTTTATTAAATGTGCCAAGTGCTAGGACTGTCTTAGGGAAAAAAGCTTTTAGTTGTGCAGCTCCACTAAATTGGAACAGTCTGCAAACATGTTTAAAACTGAGCACTTTGGTTCCCCTGTGTCATTTTAAAACTCGGCTGGGTGACATGCTGTTTGATGCTCATGGTACCTGTCACTGTAAATAGAGTTTGTAAACTCTACCCTGTACATTATGTTGTATGTCATCCTTATTGTTGTTCTGTTGTTTTTATGTTACATTTGTAACTAATGTCCTGCAGGTCACCCTTGAAAAAGAGATCTTTTGATCTCAATGGGCTTTCACCAGGTTAAATAAAGGCTACAAACAAACACTACTTAAGTATTTATTTTACTTTTGTAGGCTACTCCATTAGCCTACACCTTGATTCAAATATTGTAATTTGTAGTACACTACATTAATATCACAAATAACAATTATTTACATAATAAGATGATCAAAACAAAGTATAGATAAACTCAATACATTATAATATATGATGAACTCTTCAATGCCTCCATTAAATTCCGTAACATTAATATTTACATTTTAAATTGGCCATTCTGCACAGTGATTAACTTTTGATGCCAACTTAGTATAGTTAGAGTTTTTTGTAAACTATGTTTTACGTATAAGTACTTATTTCACCATTGAACATAGCCTAAAGAAAGGTAATGTCAATATCAAAAAGGTAGATAACTGAAGCAATTGCTTACAAAAACAGCTTCTTACTAGTCGTTATAGATTGATGAGTGTAAGGCAAGGCAAGGCAAGTTTATTTATATAGCACCTTTCAACACAAGGCAATTCAAGTGCTTTACAAAAATGAAAGACATTAAGAAAATGGCATTTAAAAACAGTCATTAAAAAGCAAAGATAATCAAATAAATATTAAAAGAAAAAATACATGGATCAAAGTTAAAGTGAAGTTTAAGATATGAATAATTCAATTAAAAGCAGCGGCAAAAAGAAAAGTCTCTAGCCTGGATTTAAAAGTAGTAAGAGTTGCAGCGGACCTGCATGTTTCTGGTAGTTTGTTCCAGATATCTGGAGCATAATAACTGAACGCTGCTTCTCCATTTTTAGTTCTGACTCTGGGGACAGAAAGTCCTGATGACCTGAGAGTTCTGGATGGTTCATAATTTAGCAGGAGGTCAGAAATGTATTTTGGGCCTAAACCATTCAATGTTTTATAAACCAGCAGCAGTATTTTTAAATCAATTATTTGACCAACAGGAAAATATTGTAAAGACTTCAGAACTGGAGTGATGTGATCCACTTTCTTAGTGTTAGTGAGGACTCGAGCAGTGGTGGTGTACTTGTGATAAAGATTGTTTATCCATGTACCTCGCACAGTGATGAAGTCGGTGGGCTCTGCATCTCCTCCTCTTCCTCCTCCGGCTCTTCTCAAACAGCACGTGGGCCCCCAGTGCTGATGAACTGTCAGAACTGACCTGGCGCATGCGCAGTGTGATGATGGGAATTTCCAACAGCTGAGGAGGCGTAGCTAGCCACGGCTAGCACTTGTAAAGGTAAGATGTACTGGTAGTGGTGTTACAAAAACGGTGTGGCCTCTCATTTGGAGCAGAACTAGACTTGGATGATGTCACAGTGACGGTATAGGCTTCGATAATTGTCTCTTAAATCGCAAAAGATGTCTATCTAGTGATGGACCGCCCTGCTAGCTCAAGCAATGTTAGCTAGCCAGCTGCGCTGAAATGGGCGTTCACTGCTGAGCCGATACTCAACTAGGGGCCCATGCGAGTGACAGCATCGGGTTTTGTTGGTTTCAGTTTCATGAAGAATTAACATACACGCTGTCTTTGAGCCGTGTATGTTATTATCAGCGTTGGTCGTGATAGGTTGCAGTTAATGCGCAATACTAATACAGGGGGCTGTTGCTAGCAAAGGCATGATGTTGCTAGCTCTCCAAACGGATGCTCACTGAGGTTGATGTGTGAGGCAAACCACAGCCAGGGAACCAGGAGCAGATACACCGCTGTGATTCCAGCTTTACGGTAGAATTAAGACTAGTACATTTTCATCCGTATGTAAACAGTTATTATGGTGTTGTTTCTTTGAGCTAAGCATGAGTATAGGCTACTTTGTTGTATTACACGCATGTTGTACCGCTGGCTCACATATTCAATAGCGCAAACAGTCGTGTAATACAAAATAAGTAAGTCTGTCAACAGTGAGACCCGATTCCGGTTTATGTAGAATGTAATTAATAAACTGTTAGTCTTGGTTGCGTATATAGTGATAGTTATCTATCAGTCCAAGTATTGACTATACGACCGACCGATATATAATAGGCCACACAATGCACCCATCAGGACAGTTACTGAGAGAGATACCAAAATAGCAATGGTTGGTGTTTTATTGTTACAAATGCATCTTCTGTTGGACTGAATTAACGAGACTGAGTCAGTAGAAAAGTATGTGTCCCAAGTTTCCTCCCATTTGTGTATCTGATTTAGAGATGTCCATTTTCATATGTCTCTTCTGTGTCATTACAGCTTGGAGACTGCTAAGAAGACTGCACATGAATGTGTCTTCATGATGACTGACCTTCAACTCTCCACTTGCTGTAACTAAGAAATGGAATAGTCTCAACTCTGCTTTGACAAAGCTTGAAGCAACCACTCCTCCTGACATCATCTTCCACGACATAGGCCTGTTTGTCTGGAAACAAGTCAGGCTTTGAGCCAATACCAGTAAGATGCCCGGAAGAAAGCATCCCTACAGGCTGAAGCCTAGCTACACCAACTGAAAGCGTAAGACAACTGCAGCTCTCTTTTTAAAGGATGTGCTGCTGATTGGATGCTACATCTCATTCTTCTTCCACCTCTCCAGACGTTGAGTGTGTGCCAGGGTTTACATTGAATATGGTGACCAAAAATGGTGCTTGAATGTGGCATACTGGTGCAGAGTATGCTAAAGAGGGTGAGGCTTTTTCAGAAAAGTACAACAGCTGACTGATAGTCTGCTGCCAATAATGGATGCCAAGTTAAAGGAGGACCTTTTTCGAAGGTATGTAACGGCACTGGAGAGGCGTCTGGAAGATGGAGGTGAATATACAGCAGGGGACAGAGGGCGGCGTAAGGACAGCGAGGCCCTACTCTCAACAGCTACAGCTCTGCTAGGGGCCTACCAGCCGGATCCTGGACAGCGTTTTCGGATGGTTCGTTTCTACGAAATGGTGGATAATTCTCTCCGCTGCCAGAGAGGAGGCAACATCAGGAGCCTGGAGAGAGCCTTCAACACATTAGAAACCATCTGCACCAACCTCTTGCTATTCCCCTGGAAGAAGGAGTTCAGATGTATAAAAGTGAGTTTATTACTTAAATATAATGTATGCTATTTGTCTCAATAGTTGATCCTGTACCTAATACATCCTACACTATACATAACAAACAAATACTGCCATCTAATTCTGTTCGAGTTTAGTACTTAGTTTGTTATCAATGGTTTGTATGTAAATCAACATTAAACACCGCCTTGGTTATATTTTCTAATTATGTTAAATGTTCTACATCTTTTTGTGGTTAACTCAGTAGCAAAACCAACCTGTAGAGTTATATGTTATCAGAGGAAGAACATGCAGATTTGAGCTTTATTGTGTCATGCTCTTTTAATTGACTTTCTGACACCAACCCATTTCTCTTTTAGACCTTCACTGGCCCATATGTGTACCATCTGCAGTCAGCCATCTCTGATCCTGAACTCCGGACTCTAATGCGCACCATTGGCTACGCCTGTGACCATGATTCGCAATTCCATTTGCAGGAGCACCCGGGAGGCACAAATCATCTCCGGCAGTTGGCGTTCGAGCTCTTCTTGGCCCAGGCAGAGTGTCGTCTGCTGGGAGAGGTAGTGGCTCTGGCCCGTGGCTCGGCCTCAGAGCTGGAGGCCCTGGAACTCCGCAAAGGTTGCAGAGATGATGCAGCCGGCTGTGCTGAGGCGCTCCGCAGACGCGACAGCCTCGGGGCCGATATGGCTCGGCTGTCTGTGCGCCCGTTGGATTTAGAGAGGCCTCATGCCCACCACCTGAGGCGAGGTAGCCGACCATCTAAGTCTGTGGATGTTACAGATGGAGCTGGTCACTGGCACGCAGCAGTCAGCAAGCCTGTGTTAAAGGCCTCGCTGAGTCTGAGGAAGGAGACTCTGTTTGTGGACACAGAGGAGGATATGAAGGATGAGATCCTCCGGCCCCTCACCTCAACGTCTCTCTTCTCTGTGGCCGCTCCTCAGTCCTATAGCCCTATTGCAGATTTCTTCCCTATTCAGTCACCTCCCCCGGCTGACGCTTACACATCTTACCACCTGTCCTCTTTGGATGAAATTGACTTGTACACAGAGAGGGGCGTTGGGACGGGGGGAAGACAGACCCCCTCTCGCCCTCCATCCAGAGAGCCTCGGGATCAAAGGGATGCGTGGCTGCTCAAAGCTCACGGCAGTGTGAAGTGTCAGGGCTGTGGGCTGGCCTGCTCCTCTATGGCCTCCTGCCAGAGGTGTGACATGATCCTCTGCTCTACCTGTCACGATGTGGACCCCTCCCCTTGTTGTGGCCTACAGGAATACCACCCGAAATCCCCACGGCCCCTTGACGGATACATTCCTGTGAAGGAAAAACTCTCCGTGTACTCAAATACGCACTCCCACTCCCATCTACATCCACACCCCCTCACGCTGACCCACTCACACTCCCACCCCCACCCTCACCCCCAGATGGTGGAGAAACCCCTCATGTCCACAAAGCTGTTTGCCAGCAAGTCTGTTGCCTTGACAACGCCAAAGGGAGGCAGCAGTGAGCGACTGAGCTTGGGGGGATCGCGATGTGGGTTTTGCAACAAGCCAGGGGCATCCCACACCTGTGTGAACTGCTCCAAGGTGTCATGTGACTCGTGCATGGGCCTGTATGCGAAGGATATTTGCACCAGAAAGAATCCCCAGCACAGCTTTGTGCCCAACCATCAGCTCAACTTCAAATCTGGCACCATATCTCACCTGGTGTACCGATGAATCAGGCAGACAGTATTTGTTTCTCCCTCCTAGTCCCCTCCCTCAACCCGCTGCATAGTCTCGCACTATTGCTTTAGCGCTGTTCCTGGTTAGCAACTCATTCACTATCTCCCCCTTTATCTGCTGGTCTTTTAGCTCTATCTTACCCTCTCTTGAACTTTGTACATTTTCTCTTACCATCAGTAATGGCCCTGAAATGCACATGCCACAGAGAGCCATATTGTCTGCCCATCTCTTTGCATTGTACAAGTTCAGGCCTTTTATCTATTTCTTCTTCCTTTTACCCTGCTACCTGCTCTTGAGTAGTTTTGTGATGTTGTAGCGCTTTCCCCAAATCCTCAAATGTTGTCCTCTTCAAAGGGGAAACTGGAAAAAAGGGAGAGAATTCCTTCTTATTTTGAATGAATTCCGTCCAAATGAACATATATACTTTGCCTAACTTCTCAGCTAAAAAATCCTCTAATATAAATATATATATATACTGTGTGTGTGAGTGTGTGCGTGTGTGTGTGCGCATGTGGAAAAGACCTCTGAGCTTGCATTGTGAAACAGGAGATCTTTTTAAACTTGAAAAATAGTATGGAAACACAGAAAACATACACTGGAAGTCAATAAGTCAATAGTATATATATTTTTAATCTCTATTCTCGAGAACAATGTGAGACTGTTAAATGGGCATGAGGTCTGGCATTGGGACTTTTGGGGTTTAAACTTGTGTCTGTGGGGGGACACACATCTCAAAGGGACATATTGAGACAATGGTCAGATGCCATATATTATATTTAAAAGATTATGCCTTGTAAATTAACCCTCAATTGTTTCTGGTTATATGACTGAGGTCTAAACGCTGCTGTTGACTTGAGACATTGATGAAGATAATGAAGATGTGTGGCGTTGACTTCTTTCTGGTAAATAGCCTGTTGGGTTGTGTCAGTTTCAATCCCCCCTTGGGTTGTGTCAGTTTTCAATCCCCCCCCACCCCCCCCATTCCCTTTCATCACACTCCTTAAACCACCATAGCCCATGATGTAGTGCACCCTTACCAGATCAGTCATTCCCAGCCTCAGGTGGAGGCACAGGAAGTCTCCCACTGAGCCTCAAATCAAGTCATCACGCTTCTTTGACAGTGTGTGAGCATATTGATAGTATGAAAGTGTGTACTCTGATACGGTTCCTGTCTACCTCAAATGGCGTCAGCTTATACACCCAGCGAGTTTGACATTGTGGTTTCAAACCAGCCCAACTTGTGTTTCAGCTTTTAATTAGCCGATGATGTCACTTATAAAAGGTTAGCAGAGGTTATTTATCTTGTGAGATAAGCCTTGACTTTGTCATCTGAACCAAATGGCACAAGGTGTTCTGTCTTGTAGCCGTTTACACTTTCTGTAATCACAGGGAGTGGACACAAGAAGATGAACATCTCTAAATGATCAGGCAATTCAATACAATAGCCCTGCATCAAATACTACCGTTGTTAACCTAAACAGTGTGGGGTTGGGTGAAATGGTCATAAAGGTGCTGATTTAGTTTGATGGTATCCATTCAGCCTGTTGTAGTGAAGTGGATCGTATTGAACTGTAAGTTGTCTTTATTTTTTCCCTTTGACAAAAAGACCCCCATTCAAATATGTAGCAGTTCAATACAACTGCACCTACGACTATGAGCTCAAAATAGAGTTGAATGAAAAAAGACCTCTCACATGGAGTTAATAACATCTAATAGTTTAGCTTATCAAAGGTAGCATTTAGCACAAGGCTATTGAACTCAATCATTACAGGGATTTATGTTGTTGTGTCTTCCAGCCTGTACAGCATAGTGATGCCAACTTTTACCTCCCCTCTGTCTCTCACTTCCCAGGTACATCCCCACTTCTCTTTCTCCATACCAGACCCGGAACAGGTCTCGTACGGTTCTCTCCAACCCTTTATCCCTTCCAAGTTCTCTGACGTGATCGATGTGGTGGTGACAATTGTAGTCATTCTATTGGTGTGGTCCCTCCATTTCCCTCATAACTGAAGTGTTACTCACACAGGCCACCCATTTTGGTTAATACAAGTTTTACCGAGTTACATAAGGTACTGTATTTTAATTTTTTCGAGAACAAAAAAGGTTTTTAGTCATTAAGTGTAGGTGACTTTGTACATTCATTCGGGTTGTAATCTCTAAGTGGTACTGTTCAACAGGTGATTTTCCAATTTTGTCACGGGTGTTTGAATCGTCGGTCGCGACTTCTGACAATTCGGTAAACATCACTGGATCTGTTTCACAAGTCAGGTGACTAACCCCCAGTCGAGGAGCAGGGTACCACACGTTCATTCAACAGCCACTAAGAGAAAGATCGAAGAATAGAATGTTTCCGGTTGTAGGACTCTGTGTTCCGATTTTGAACTCGTTTTTTGGTGTCTAAGTACATTGTTATTGACAATGTAGACCCGTACGTTGTCCTTAAGTGAAAGGTGAGTATATAAACAAGAAGTAAACCGGTTATACTAGTAAGAAAGTTTGTACCGAGTTGTGAAGAACTTCAGCGAAACAACGACCATACTAAACGGCATTTACCTGTTCGGCGTTGATTTTATATAGATACTATTTATAAATTTTATACATCTTTCGAAAGGAATGTACTTTCGTTTACTAACGTGTGGAGGGGAATCTAGTGACTTCTGAAAACAGTTGTGGATCCAATTCGGTTGCAACCTGGGTTTTTCGTAGAGAGTTTTCTTGGAAGTCGATGTAGGGTTTGTCATAGTTTCAAGGGAAGAAATTTAACAAATTGTACTATTGCTGTTTGTTGACTCAAAATTCCCTTCCTTACTTGTCTTCTCTAGTCTGTAGTGAGGGACATTGGTGTGGTCACAAGTGCATTATAGACTTTCGTTTTTGTTTTACAGAGGGTCGCGTTTTGTACCAATAATAATGCCCGTTATTTGGGGAACATTCGTGGTATCAAGTATATAACCCAATGTTCAACATTCAACGAGGACAATTCTTACGTAACAAGTCATATTCGTACCATCACTTAGCGTATGAAACACACAAAACATTGTATTGAGACCTTAAGGATGGCATCGACAGGTATTTAGTTTCGAAAATATAATTAAGTACATCGGAACGTTTTGGGGTACAATTACACAATTGGATGTTCGACCATTTGTTTTACAGTTATTGTGAAGTTTATGAGCTATTCTGTCGACTTACTCGAAATTCCGCAAATTTCCAATGAAGACTGGTCTTGTGCTAGACAGTTGTCTATTCGGATGTAAAAAACTTTTCTTTTACGCTAAATTTTTAACGGGAACCTACTCGATAGGAGACGGTGTATGGTAGTTTTCATAGGGAAAATGTAATTGTTTAGTTTTGGAGGTAGTGATAAATCTGAAATATGTACATACTGTGAGTCAAATGTACAGTCGTGTCAAAAACAGTCCGGAACTACTGGGGTTCGGGAATACAGTTATCAAAACACATTTACAGGTGTCGTTTACCCGTCATTGCGTACGAATTCCTTTGAGTGGCTTAGTTCCATCGATTCTCTCCCCGAAAAGTTCCAGNACTTGTGTGTGGTAACCTGAGGGGGGGGAAGATGGCCACAGAGACAAAGAGCCATAAAGGGGAATGTGTGTGTGCTGGCTGCAAGATGTGAAATAAGATAAGGAAACTTGTTATTTAGAGCAGGTTCGTTCCAGACACCAAAAGGTATCTGGTTTTCGTCAAACTGAAAGAGACTTTTTGTTTCCGGGTTTCTTCTGCTGTGTCGCACTGATTGGGTGCGACAGGCCATGTGTTGGTCTCTCCCAATGAGATGACCTCTGGGGGAAAGCACGCACACACCTCCTCCTGTGTTTTTAGTATGAAAGCCTGTGTTTTCCTTTGGTTCGCTCTCTTTTCTTCAGGCTGACCAGAGAGTAAGACAGGAGAAAGAGCAGGAAGTACTTCCTTTGTATTTGTATTGTTACTTTTTATCATTAAAACAAGATTATTGTTTAACTTGCATTCTGGTGTTTCTTAATCCCTTCCTTTTTACGAATTTACCCAGCTTACCAAACGACACGCGGAGACGAGGTTGGTTTTAAACATCCTCCAATCTCCAACAGTGTTCAATAGCACCCTAGACAATTCAGTAATGGTATATTTTTTTAGGGATTTCTGTTTTCCAAAAAGTACAATTTCCGTCTAAATAATAAACTAAAGCTAAGTTTACAGGACTATAATTCAGTATTGTCTTACTTAAATAATTGTCTGACTATTTGGTGATGTAGGACAGCCACCTGGTTCATACCTCAGCAAATCTGAAGAGGAAAATAGTTGTCATTCTCAAGTTATGGGCTTTTTTGTCACCTTTCCCATATTCGGCCTGGTCTAATTTGGCTCTTTTTCAGGGATTGGGATAGTTCTAAAGAACAACCCAAACAAATTTTTTTCCCCCAAAATAAAATTTGACAACAATCAATTTCATGAATGGGAGACCCTAAAGATAAGAAAAATCATTGTTGTCATTTGTTCTACCTCGGGTAGGGGTATCTCGAAAACTAAAGCCTTTTTTGAGGACTTGCTGCTGGACTACATCGGTTCATCCTAAATTGACCCGGTGCCCTTTGCAAACTCAAGTCTTAGACATTTCCATATCTCAGAGCAAGATTTGTGTCTTTGTGATAAACAAAACGATGACACGTAGATATGTGCATGTCAAAAGAAAAAGGTTACACTCGGGTTGTATTGCTCAGAGGATTAATGTCTTTCAACAATAGTAACAGTAGAAATAAAAACCTAGCTATTTGACTATTGCCATCAGCAAAGTTATTGATTGTTTACTTTGAAAAGTTTTCAGGGTTCAAGACAAGTTACATCTCTGTTATGTTTGCTAAAGAGTTTTGGGCCAAAGGACAACAAACATTCCTCCTCCTCCATATATCACCTTCTACATTGTCTTGTCTCTGCCTTATCCTTCCCATTTGCTCTTTCAAGCCCTTTTTTATTTTCAATCTTATGTCTTAATGGGAGCTGTTAGAAGCGCCATGTGCATTAACAAATGGAAAACTCCCTCTGTTGACATTTTGATATGGCAATCTAGTATGGTGAAAGCTTGGTATACGAATGAAGAAAAACATGTCGCTTTTACGGGCACATTTTCAAACAAACAAGCAGGTGTTTGATAAATAGCAAACTTCAAACCTGAATCTCATTACATGCAGGGATAAGCGCATACATAGAAAACAGATGGGAAACAAACACATCTCTCAAAGATAATGAATAGACACATATGCTTGTTTCGTTATGTCTCAAAAGTATTTTTACTGTTGAAATGTCTAATTGCGTTACTGTTATTACAAACATCAAAACAAAACAAATTCTGAAAAACAATCTTAAACATGATTTGTAAGAGCATAAATGTTTATAATGCCATGTGGGAAGTGCACAGGGAGTATTTTACCAAACATCATTTAGGCTGTAGGGTCAAGAACATTACTGTTTCCTCAAAGCAATGTTCAGGTTGTTGGGTATCTCTTTGGTTTCAAGTCCCCTAATTAAAGTGCAGAATTTGTTATGTTTTGTTGCTAATCATCAAATCTTGCCTGAAGTCTTCCCTGCTCAGCCTTTGTGCACAATGCTCTCAGCTCTGCAAACCGGTAGTTGCAAACCATAATAAGCATTCTGGGTTTATCTGATTATGTACTGAAGATAAGCATTAATAACATCACACTTTCCTCATTCTTAACAACAAATTCTTAAATAGGCTGCAGATTAAGTACTCTGTTGTGCCCTCTGTGGGGTAACTCTTTCTTCTAGTAATGGAATTTATTAATAGCTTATTTGTTTTGCCTAATAAGTTTTGAGACTAATTTAAATGCTACAATGTTACTTGAAAAATGGTTTCTGTGTGAAGGAAGTGCTACTTTTTAGCTACATGCAAACCTAGGTAGTTGATCAGAGGTGAATGGTGGGAGAACAAGTCTAGTTAAACGTTTTTAATAAAACATCTTTTGAAGTAAATAGTCCCCTTTTAAAAAAATGTATTTTTTTGCATATTCATAGTTTGCGTTTTTTCCAATGTTTGATTCCGTTCAAGGCCTCACTGTCAGGGTTGAGTGAAGCAGGCAGGACCCAAATGCAGATTACACAGAAAATACCTTTATTTCAAGGTTTACACAGTGACAAACAGAACACTACTCCGTGAACACAGTCACAGACAAACAAGGAACTAACAATGAATGATAGAAAAAGCAGAACTTAAATACAAGACTAATCAAAGAAACAAGAGACAGGTGAGGAGGGAGGAGAAAACACAGGGGCACAAGGTGAACACAATCGGGTAATCAGACAGGAGGGAACACAGACATAAAGCAACAGGCAAGACAGGCGCCGTTTCTCAATCTCGAGGATACTGGCTTCCAAGCCAATATTTCAAGGATGCTACGTCATCAAGTGGCGCAGCAGGACCGTTCCAATGTCCAGTATGCTTGGAATTCCACCGAGGCCGCGTCCTTGGTTTGGGGGAAATTTCGAGGCTGCACATGGGTAGACTTTGCGTTCTTAAAATCCCCACAATGCTTTGCGTACGGACCAATTTCGAAAAACCCTTGCGGAGAATGGCTGAACCGAACGCAGCACATATTTAAATGTAAGTATGTAGTGGCGTAGAACATGTAAATATGTTACTTTGTTACATTTGTTATCACCAAAAATGTGTTCCGTCATCCTCGAGATTGAGAAACGGCAAGTGGGTGAACACTTTTCAAAAATAAAACAGGAAACCAAAGACAGAAAAAGACAAAACAAAACACAGGCAGATCGTGACACTCACCTTTGAATGTGATTTAAAAAATGTTAAACTAATTAACCTATCTTAAACGACGACACATATCAGACCTTATTATTCAAGACAGGTTTTAAATTAATGTATTCAAAAAGTTATTTTCCATTATTAAGTTGGATAAAAAAAAGTCACTTGTATTGAGAAACAGTATCCCACAAATATCTGCACTCTTTTTTCTCGGAGGGCTTTACAATCTGAACAACAAACAACAACCTCTTAATTTACCTCTGTGATCCAGCTAATAGTGGAGAAACCAGGTGCTGCCATATTTACAGCCATATTATATTTGCCATTAGCAGATTTGTTATACTTCCTAAGCACTTTTTAAAGTTTAGTATATTTTGCTCACTGCTCTCTCACTCTCGTGTCATGGCCACCTGTATCCCCGCCAGAAGGGCAATCATCTATCAAATTGTACTTGAAAGCGTTTGGCAACAAACAACATTTTTTGGCTGCCAATCCTCTCAGATCATATATCAAGTTTGGAGTAGAGAAACCACAGTATAGCGGTGAATAAAGGAGAAGTGAGTTCAGCTACCTTATTTGGAAATAAAGCGGGCTCCATCAGCTTTTTTGTTTTGTTTTGTAAATCACATTTGTTCTTTAACCATTGCTTCCATTCATACAGCAGGAAAATGGTTACACAATCTCAGATGGGCTTTCCACTGTCACTGCAACTATAGGATAAAGCCACCATAGACAATTAGTGCTGTTTGGGATTCAATAATATACTGTCCATATACACTAATCTCTCACTTGTCAGAATCCAAGTAGCCCCACAATGAGAGAAACAGAGGGAGATAAAAATACTATACAAAAATGAATAGACCAGAAGGTTATGTATAACATCTTGGTTTCTGGCATGTGGCTGCCAGCCTAAGCCCAGTCAAGGCTCTTATCCTCCTAGCTGGCATGCTGAGATCTCAGAGGGAACAAAGCTTTTGGAACGGGATTCCACTACTGACCAGTAGCGTGGCGTGGGGAAAAAATTAGGGGAAGCCAATAATACGTCCTTCCTTTAGGGGTGTGGTGGTCAATGTAATAACGTAACCAGATGAGTGATTACAGCGCCCGGTATCATTTTACACACATTTGTATCATACAGATGCAGGACTTACACACGCCTGTTATCTGACCGACAGGTCCGCACGCACTCTCCAGCCGAAACTCTAATAAGCATTCATTCACAAACTAAATAAGGAGACCTTTAACGTTTTACGTCCGGTTCGTTCCTTTGTTCCTCGCTGTACACAGCTCCAGTTTGGGCATTGGCCTGTCATCAGATTGTATTTGTTGTTGCTGCTGCAGCGGAAGTTTAGTACAATTGTTTTTGATTAAATACTCCAAATCTCCACCCTCCATAATTGCATTTGCTTCAGTTGCTTGCTACTTTCTAACGGCGGTGAGAGTGGTGAACAGTGACGCTATCTATCTTCTATCGATTAGATTTATGATTCGAAAATTATAAAAGTAGGGTAGACATGTGGATATTATCCGACTGAACAAAACGTGCATTTACCTAACAGGTTCGTTTTCCACTGACCTTTTTTCGAGCTATTTTCCAAAATCCTATGGAGAAATCCCATTGCTATTTTGTCGAGGGAAACCGAGCGCAGCTTACTTCCGCTTTTTGGGACGCGTCACTGCACCACTAAGTTGATGCGATTTGATTGGATTGTGAGGCAAGGGAAGCCAGCCGCCTCTGGCTTCCCTTGGCATGGCCCTGACCAATCACAGGTTGGCAGGGGCATGACGTGAGCCTCATCTGATTGGTCAGTCCCGCCCATCTACTTCCGACCCATGGGACCCCGGAAGCGGAAAATTATACATTGACGTCAATGGAGAAAGAAAAGTCATCTTTCGATCCCGTTTGAATTGTGCCACGAATGACACATATGATGTTTGTCAAATTAAAAAGAACATTTTTGCAAGTCAAAAAANATGTTGTATGTCATCCTTATTGTTGTTCTGTTGTTTTTATGTTACATTTGTAACTAATGTCCTGCAGGTCACCCTTGAAAAAGAGATCTTTTGATCTCAAGGGGCTTTCACCTGGTTAAATAAAGGCTACAAACAAACAAACAAACTTCTTTGTCCCTCCATCCAGGGAATCAGTGGTGAACAGGGTGATGAACAAGTTGTCTCCTCTCCATGACAAGATCTACTGTGCTCTGTCAGGCTCTGCAGCGGACGCCCAGACCATCGCTGAGATGGTCAACTACCAGCTGGATGTTCACAGGTAACTACACACTCAAAGAATTGAAAAGATATCAGCTGGCTTTCCTAGTGTCCATAACTCAAACACCACACACATTGTTTGTCTCTTTGTTTTTATGAAAGACGCTGTCACCATATGTTTCTTTATGTCTTTCTTTATCAGTATTGAAATAGATAAGGACCCAAAGGTTTGCTCGGCTGCCACCCTGGTGAGGAACATCTCATACAAGTACAAGGAGGAGCTGTCAGCACATCTCATTGTGGCCGGCTGGGACAGAGGAGATGGAGGACAGGTCAGTAACACAGGTTGGCTTAAACGCTGAGATCACTGAGAAAAATAATGTTAACAGCCCATTTTGAAGTGTGCTTGTATGAGGTACATATCTATGATATGTGTCTGGAGAATCACACAGAGGTTACAGCAAAACAGAATTCAGCCATCTAAAAAAGGCCCACATAAAAAAAAAAATGTTTTAAGTTTACACTATATTTAGCATTTTTTCTCGTCTTTACCTTGCTGTAAGATGCCATTAAGCCACCATATTCTATTAAGAAAACATACCTTTTTGCTAATTTATAGTCTACTGATGACGCAGCTTAGACAAACAACTCCTGTGTTATATGAGGTCAAATTCAACAGAGTCTGGTGGCTTTGAAGAGAGCATACAGTATAACAGCTATGTTCCCACTCTGAAAGGGCTGTTTCATGGCAAGATTAATCAGCAAAAACATTTTAAATATATCACTCACATAAACTGATATAGATTTTTAATGCTAGGTCTTTATTTTAGGTGGCTCAAATTTTTTTTTTCTGACTGCCCCATCCACATTAGTACACTGCTTAGCATCCGTGCAGTAACTCCTGTCTGTTTCTCCAAACTAGGGGCTTTCAGAACACAATATTTGTAATCCACTGACTAATTATAGAGATCTCATACAACCCCACTTCAAAAAATAAAAAACTATCCATATAAAGGATCAAAATAATGTACCTGCAACCTCTGCTTAAGTGACCCTGATGGCGCTCAATAGACAGACAGGCAGCTGCTGATGTAGCTGCTGGATGCATTGAACAAAATATTTTATCTAGCTAAAAGATGGGTGTCATAATAAGTGTCATAATATGACAATAATGTGATCTGTCTTGCTCCTCTCTGCCCTTTGACCTTTTCCAGGTGTTTGCGACTCTGAATGGACTCCTGACCAGGCAGCCTTTTGCAGTCGGTGGCTCTGGCAGCTCTTATGTTTATGGATTTGTTGATGCTGAGTATCGCAAGGACATGGCCAAGGAAGAGTGCCAGCAGTTTGTTATCAACAGTAGGTTTTTACCGCCCAGAAAGTTTTTTTTTTTTTGTCCACATTTTGTAGGATAGAGTAAGGGAAACCTGACACTTGTACTGGCTGCTTAGAAGAGCTATAGCTATTCAACAGTGTTATGTTGTATAAAACATATAAAGATTCTCCTCCAATCTAAACCCTTATCTTATTGTCTTTCTCTCTTGTAGCGCTGGCTTTGGCAATGAACCGCGATGGCTCCAGTGGCGGCGTGGCCTATATTGTCTCTATTGATGAACATGGTGCAGAGGAGAAGGTCGTTCTGGGAAATGACTTACCCACCTTCTTTGATCAGTGAACAATATATACATTTTTGCTCAGCTGCTAACTAACTTATCTTGAAAAGGATATTGGACAAGACTACTTTTTACTTATACATTTAATCTTAACGTTTCTTCAAGTGAAATGTCATTATTTATGTTATCTTAAAGCTGATGGTTCCCTTGCATCATATAAACCTGATTTGGTTTATTATCTCACCAGAGTGCTGTTAGCTATGTCCCTTTACCAAGTTTTGGACAGCTTCAGGATAAGACACATAAATTGTCACTATGTCTATCCTCAAATTATCTTTTTCTCTAGCCCCTGGGTCTTCAGATGCCAATTACGTATTTTAAACTTGTTGCAAGACTCATTATTCATTCCATGAATCTGAAACGTGACAACATGACTACCAATGTGTGTGTACTGGTGGCAGAGAAAAAGTAAATAGGACAAAACCTGCAAAACCCATACAATTATTTTAGTCTCTTTATAAATAGTCCCACAAAAACACATGCTATAATTAGCAGCAACAGCAAGTCTTACAAAGACATCCCAAAAAGTATAAAAAAACATTTGTTTGAGTACTACAAAAGTGTGTCACCCTCCACGGTTAGCCACTGCTCAGTCATCACAGTAATAAAACCAGATTAAGATGCCTGGTTGATGTTTGGTTAAACATACATACATGTAGGAGTAATGCATAGTGTCCATGCATTATTTTATGTAAATGATGTAACACTTAAAATTGAATAAAAGCCTTTTATTGAAAAATGTTCTTTTTGATGTCTCTTCTTAACAAGAAACCATTCTTTATAAACTGTTGTTTCTGCTGTCAAATGCCAAAGTGTTAATCCAGGTGAAAAAGATGGGGATGATGATTAAGATAGCAATAATTAGAAGATACAAAATAATCATGTGTGTAATCAATACGTTTTAGAATTCAAAATTGTCTTTATTCAGAATTCAGTATAACCAGGGCCGTCCCTCCCTACAGGCCAATCATGCAGGATGCATGGGGCCTCACATTGCGCAGGGGGCCTTGCGTAGGGGGCCTTGCGTAGGGGGCCTTGCGTAGGGGGCCTTGCGCAGGGCCCTTGCGCAGGGGGCCTCGGCTTATGAGCTCGGCTTGTGCGCAGTTCTCAGCGCAGTTCTCCGCTATAACTGGATGGCCTACCTGCCTGTCAGCCTTCCATCTGTGCACAAACTTATCTCGTGCCCTCATTGGTCATGTGCGCATTCGTGTGTGTTGGAGGAGGGGCTCTGTGAGGAAGTGGCGGATGGGTATTTTCAAATGCTAGCGCACTCGAGCTGGTTTCTCCAAAATTACCTACCCCACCTTTAACTCCTAACAGTCATCATCATGTCAACCACAACACAGAGAAATACTGATAGAAATGTGTGTGTAGTTGTTGATAAATTGCTGATAGAGGGAAATACATTTGAATACAGATTTAACAAATATCAGTTTTTGAGCATGTAATAAGCATATTTTGTCTTGACTCTATTACAACTATATTATCATAAAATAATATAGTATTTATATTATTGAATTGATTATGATTATGATTATTATTATTATTACTAGTAGTAGTAGTAGTAGTAGTAGTAGTAGTTTATTTGCATTAATTATATTGGGGGGGGGGGGCTCATCTTGCAATGTTGCTTGGGGCCCCAAGTTGGCCAGGGACGGCCCTGAGTATAACCAATGCCGTTTGGATTTCAGGGAAACCCCTGGCACTGCCAAAAAACGAAAATGAAAGTAGATGAAAAGTTCTGAAAACACTGGTCTCGCAGCATAGCAGGTCATTTAAGGACGACTGTTAGTGAAAATGGCAGCCTGTACAGTATTTAGAAAAGTCTTTGCTTTGATTTTAGCAGTTTTTGTCGACATTTCCTTCTTTCATTTATCGGGGTTAGTCGTGAACCACAGGGTGTTTGGACATCTTCCGCGACTCTGGGTGTCTGCGGCTCTCCGGTGTTTGGCACTGACTGCTATTACTCTGCTCAGCCTCAGAGATGTCCGACCGTTAGTGTTTCGGGTTATATTTACACACAGTCTGCTGCCTGCGGTGCTGGAGACCGGGACCAGAGTGCTCTACCACGAGGAGACCCAGTGTGGCATGTTGGCGGATCTGCGCTGCTGGCTGATGTGCGCCGGGGCGTCGCTGGCTGGGGCTCTGTTTTGGGAGATCACCATCCCGGACACCGAAGATGCAGCCGCCGGTAAAGAGAAGAGGCAGAAAGCTCGAGTGCTGTTTGTGAGAGTCCTGCACCTGTACAGACCCGACTCTCTGCTGCTGTTGGGAGGACTTGTGTTCCTGACGCTGGCTGTTATCTGTAAGTAGGATTATATTACAGCAGGTGCTGATGATGAAGATGATGATGATGATTTCAGACATGCTAATTAAATGAAAAGTTAAAAACACATATTAATAGCTTTAAATGCTTATCATTTAATTCTAAATATGGCAGTATAATCAGTACTTTTGCAATACAAATGACCATGATGATAATCTAATGATTTCAAGAAGAATATGAAGATGGACCTTTATTATTTTAAATTCAGTTTTCCACTCTGTTTTTTTACATGCACCTTATGTACATACAAATACACACAGTTATATTCACACATGCACATGCATCGAGAGGATCCAGAGCGGAGAGGTATCCAGACTCACCAGCGCCAGGGACTATAGTTGGGTGTCAGGGTGGGGGTGCATTGCTCAAGGGCACCTCGGCAGTGGTGAACTGGCTCCTCTCCAGTACCAGTCCACACTCCATATTGTTTTGGTCCGACCGGGACGTGAACCGGCAACCCTTCGGCCCAGAGTCCAAGTCCCTATTGAACCACTGAGCTGATGTATCTAAATCTCTCATTATGTTTCTTATTCTGTGTACTTGTGTGTCCCCTCAGGTCAGATGTTCATCCCGTTCTACACTGGGAGAGTCATTGACATCCTTGGCAGTCAGTACCAGCACACTGAATTCATATCTGCACTCCTCTTCATGGGGCTGTACTCTCTGGGAAGGTACGTGGCACCGTTTTTTCTCCACATTCATGATCCAGCAGCATGTGTCCAGACTCACAGGTGAGCATCTAACAACTGAACTCTCTTTGATTTGTCAGCTCTGTGAGTGCAGGCTGCAGAGGAGGTCTCTTACTTTGTGCCATCAGTGCCTTCGCATGCAGAGTGAAAGCCAAGCTGTTTGGGGCTTTGACCAAACAGGAAATTGGATTCTTTGAGGCCGTAAAGACAGGTAAAGATCGTATAATTTTACATGCAAATACACTGTATGAATAATGGGACACTTCACATTAAGGACATGGGACTACTGTGGATCTGTAGCATCCCAAACTTATTTTGTAGTAAAAAAACATTTTTAAAAAGCGATTTTTGGAAGTAGTGAATCCACTCAGAATCTTAGAAAAATAAATCCAGATCCTTACATGGATTTCCCCCCCACCTCTATAAACGACAGAACAAATAAGATAATAATAACATACAGTTGGCCAACTCAAAGACAGGAGGACATTCAGACCAAAATACACCAGAGTAGCACATGACAGAAATATTGTATTATTATACTATTTTGTATTCTTTTTTCTGTCTAGGTGAAATTACATCCAGGTTGTCGAAAGACACCAACTTGATGGGGAGAACAGTGGGTCTGAATGTCAATGTGCTGCTGAGGACATTCATCAACACAATGGGCATGATCTCCCTGATGATGAATCTGTCATGGAAGCTCACATTCCTTGTGTTGATGGAGACGCCTATCACTGGCCTTATTCAGAACATCTATGACACTCACTACCAGGTAAAAGCAGGTTCATAACTATATGATATCCATTACCAAACACATTTTCTCCATCGTACTTATTGAATTGAGGTAGTGGGGAAATCACTTAATTATCCTTCTTCTTTATCCTTCCCTCAGCGCCTGTCCCTTGCGGTGCAGGACTCAATGGCTCTGTCAAATGAAGTTGCAAATGAGGTAGTATCCAGTATTCATGCGGTCCGAAGCTTTAACACAGAAAAACAAGAGGCTCAGCGCTATGACGACCGCCTGATGGAAACACACACACTGAGGACCCGCCGGGACACTGTCAGGGCCGTTTACCTGCTCGCACAGAGGGTGAGAAGTTTTGAATGTTTTGGAGAATTGTGTTTTTTGGAGACCGGTGTTGCTCCTTTAATTGTATATCACCCTATTAAACAGTTGTTCTTCCTGTGTGTGTGTGTGTGTGTGTGTGTGTGTGTGTGTGTGTGTGTGTGTGTGTGTGTGTGTGTGTGTGTGTGTTTACAGTTAACAGGGCTGGTCATGCAGGTCCTCATGTTGTATTATGGCCGGCTGTTCATCCGGAGTGGACAGATGACCACTGGCAACCTGGTTTCCTTCATCCTCTACCAGTCAGACCTGGGAGACAACATCAGGGTAAATACACTGCTTTGTTTTAATGAGCATACACATACACTAGACTAATTTTAAGGTGATTAAAAGAAATGTTCCGAGGTTACTTTTAAAATAAAAGTATCTTTCATGTCATCACGAAGGAGAGTCTGTTGGCTAATAGCTTTAAGCATGTCTAATGAAAGTGTCAAGCCATGTCCCAAAATGCTTGCTCGCATTCATATTTCCATTTTACATACTGCAACTCTGAATCCATAAATAAAATATGTGATCATTTTTATGACTGCCTTGTTTCAGACACTTACCTACAGCTTTGGCGATATGCTAAACTCGGTGGGGGCTGCTGGGAAGGTCTTTGAGTACCTGGACCGAAAACCTCAGGTCAGCACGGAGGGAAAACTCAAACCGGATCAGCTGACAGGAGACATCAGCTTCCGTGGCGTCAACTTTGCCTATCCAGCATCCCCCAACAAAAAAGTGCTGCAGGTGAGGCCTGAATGCAAGGTATTAAAAGGGGAATTCTTCAGTTTGGATTTGTACATTTCTTGATTTTTTTAATTACATTTATTGTGGAAAATAAACAATATGGCAATAGAAAAAGTGGATGAATTACTGAGTATCGCCTTAAAATGTAGTTACCTATGAACTCATGCATAGTAGATTACAGACATATTACAGACACAACACTCAGATTTACATGTTCATTGTCACCTTCAGGACTTCTCTTTGGAGCTGAAGGCAGGTCAGATGACGGCACTGGTGGGTCCATCCGGAGAAGGGAAGAGCACCTGTGTGAGTCTGCTAGAGCGTTACTATGAGCAGCAGGATGGAGAAATCCTATTGGACAATGAACCACTGAAGTCTTATGACCACCGTTTCCTCCACAAGAAGGTAATAAACTGCTTTTTCAGAAGATGTTCCACCCTTTTCTCTCTTTTATCTGTGATTTAATTGTTTGATATTTCCTTAATTTACTACATCAGTATTAAATGATTCAACTGGGAGGCATCTATTGTTAACGAAGTACAGACAACAATTTAAACATATTTAGATAAGAATGCAGTTCATCAGTGACCCAGGGCGCGTAATGGGTGATGGGCCTGATGAGTCGACTCTGTGGAAGAACTTAGGTGATACACACCTGCTGAATACACCAAGTGTATGTCCATTTTGAGGGCTAAACTGTACAAATGTAGGCAAGCACTAAGCATTCATCCTACAATGCCCTCAAATGATCTTTCCCTCCGACTTTCTGAAGACTTTCTTATTGTTTGGGCCGTCAAGAACAAGCTAAAATCAATGCATATCTAATTGTGACAGAAGATTCTACTGTGGATTTAGTTTTCATATATCATGAGTTATTCATTCAGCTGACGAGAGTGTGTTTTATAGATTGCAGTGGTGAGCCAGCAGCCTGTGCTCTTCTCAGGCTCCATCAGAGACAACATCGCCTACGGGGTTGCTGAATGCTCATTGGGTGAGATCCAGGAAGCAGCACGCAAAGCCAACGCCCATGACTTCATTAACCAACTGGAGAAAGGATATGACACAGGTAAACTCTTTTAACCAACCTACATGCCATTGCACATGCCTGAGAGCCTACATACAGTAAAAACATGAAAGACCAAATTTGGTTAAATGAGACAAGAAATGTTTCTTTAAAACATATTATTTATTTATTTTGTACGATAATCTACTAACCTTTATTATTTGAAATACTAAATCCTCCTGTCTTTTCTGCATCTGTGTCACACTTTGAACCTCAAGCTGTTATTGATGTTATTTTATAATGTCCTTTTCTCAGAGGTGGGTGAGGGTGGCGGGCAGTTAGCCAAAAGCGAGAGGCAGCGGATCGCCATTGCTCGAGCCCTGGTCAGACAGCCACAGGTCCTCATTCTGGATGAAATTACCAGCTCTCTGGACCCTGAGAGCGAAAATAAGGTATGCATCAAATTCTAAATGCAGTGTCCGTTTGTGGTCTCTTCAAGGCCGCAAGCGTCTGGGCTCCTATTGCAAATAAGTTTCTTAACATAAGTTAAATAGTGAGTTATATGTAGATAAAGACCTGAAGACCCTTTAATATACCATTTATTGTCCGCAAGTGTTTATTCCTGTTGCCCAAACAATAGGTGGTCATTTCTGATTTAAATCATAGAGTATTTCATAGATATATTTAAGTGCTGCACAGGTGTTAAAAAAGTGCTCACAGATTGGTCAGTTTTTCTATAAAGAAATTGTCTGTCTTAGAGTTTCTAGAAGTGCAATCAAGACTTGATTTACATTAAATATTCACATTTGTGTTACTCAACAAAAAAAAAGAATTTGCAAAAAGAAATGCCTGAAAAAAAAGATTGATTTGCATTGCTTCCCTTAATTATATGTTGATTGTTATGTGTGTGTACCTGCTTAGGGACTGCATATGTAAATGAGCTAATAGCTTAATCTGGCATAAATCCTCTCTTTTCTTTTGAAATGAATGGTTTTTTATACATGTGAGCGAGTTATAGTGCAAAATCAATCATACACGCCAATTGTATTTCACTGCTCTAAAGATAAAAGACAAGTTAGTCATGACAAAATGTATTTTTATAACCGATCATTAAAAAAAATCTACTGTTATGCATGAATTCTTTAATTTCTCACTGACATCCACTCATATTAATTCTCAGCACATTAAATTAATAAAATAAGTTACATCATTTCATCAGACCTTTAGTATCTCATTCAGAAAAATATAAATAATATAACTTAATGTAGCGTCTACCTAAAAACAATCCACTGAAAGACAATGAAATAATGCATATTTCTGGCATTGACTCTGCACAGATTCAGCAGGCCCTGGCTAGTTGTCCCAACCAGACCCTGCTGGTGATCGCTCACAGGCTGAAGACCATTGAGAAGGCCCATCAGATTGTCCTGATCGGGGACGGCCAAATTCAGGAACGAGGGACTCACCAGGACCTGATGGAGGAGAAGGGGAGATACTACAAACTGAGAGAGAAGCTGTTCACCGAGGGAAACTCCCCTCAATGACAGACAGCTGCCACTGAGCAGAGGCTCAATGTGTGGAAGATAATTGTTCTGTATATAAATGCAGCATGTATTTATTTTGTAAATATTGAAAAAGAAAGAATGGGCCTCTACGTTGTTTTAGTTATATTCTGTAATGTGGCCTAATAGTTTACTTTAAATCGTATTTTGATATCACCTTTTGTATTGTAAAAATCCTTAAATTCAATACATTCCATTTTCTCATAGATGCGTGACCACTATCATTTTGTTCCATTTCATGTCCTTGTATAAATGTTTGACATGACAGCACAACGTTGGGCTATAAAATATTCCTTTATTATCAGACCGGCCAAAGGTTATCTCACAGGTGTGTCTAAATAAAAGGTTGATCACCAGTATCAGACGTTTTGATTATTGTCTCAGTTAACTCCTGCTATAACATCAGTCAAACCATATCTAAATGTTTTTGAGTTTTTTTTCAAACTATTTGTCACATAGTTATATATATGTCCTTTTACTAAACATTCATGGGATAAAATTAAATCCAGAGCAGTGTGTTATGTACAGTACAACAATGTGCATTTAGGATATGTTTTCTTTTTTATCATATATCATTGTGTTTTTTATTCATTTCTGGTTTTAAGCTGCTCAAACACAATGGAGACTTTGTTTTATTGTCAGAGCTGACCTGGAAAGTCCCTGGCAAGAAGCCCTTTTTTTTTTCTGGCAATGAGGCCGTTTCGAAAGATTCCTGATGATATGTGTCATAAACATCAGAGGCACAGGGAAGTGAAATGCAGCATTCTGTCAAAACAGCAATCGCCTCTATCAAAGATTAGGCTTAGTTCATAAAACATTGAGCACCATTTTGTAAGGACACGTGTGTGCATCAACAAAATGGTGACTGGATTCACGAGCCACGTTTGGTAATTTTGTTTCTCCTGCAGTTTAATGAGTTTCATGCACAGTTATATTTAAAATATCTCAAGTTCAGAAAAGTTTTTCCCAGTATTTGCTTGCATTTTCTTAATTTATAATCAAGTTATTTTCATGTTCTAACTGTCACTGGATGATTAATCATGCTTCTCTATGAAACTGCATCTGCTGTTTTTTTTTTACATCTTGAAAAAAAGTTTAGTTTAGTGGTAGGGCTGAAAACGAAACTATTTCTCATTGTTATTCTTTATAACCAGACAGTTAGGAGATACCATCGGGCATGGTGACTCATCAGTTAACCTGTCAGCTTTGTTTGCCGCCTGCGGGTTATGCAGGAGGGCACAAAGTGGAAGAGCAGATGCCAAAATGTGGCGCCATTTTAGGATGAGACCTTTAGAAACCTAAACACCAAATGGCAGACAGTCACAGTGGACATAGAAAGTCAGAAAATGTAGAATAAGAGGCACATAAAACATGATATAGTGAGAGGCTGTATCCATTGCTGTGGGTAAAAACCTTCGTTAATCCCCAAACCTCAGTATGCACCATATATTCTGTGTATGTGATGTTTTTGGATGTGCTTTTGTGCCAAGAGGCTTTTGCATAACCAGCTCTGCACCATAGCGCCGCATCGCCACTGCCTAGCTGGAAAGTCCTTTCTCTTCTTTCTTTCTTTCACTTTCTGCCTTTCCTGCACTGTGTATTTAGTTACTCCTCCACATCACAGCCAAGGTCTTGTAACTCAAAGCATTGTGGTGTGATTGACACGCTTCTGCCATTTTACCCATTCAGAGCAACAGTTAGATGGATTTGGTTAGGTGACACTTTGACGGAGCAAGTTTTAAGTGAATAAAGTGTGTCTGTGTTTTCCTTCAACAGTGCCAAAGGGCCAGAGTAGATGTATGCTTTTTCAACGGATTATACAGTATGTGTTTGTTTTTTTCAATGTTACTGTTATTCAAATCCTAATCTGTAAATAAAAAATTTTAATGTGGTGAAGTAAAAATATACTTTATTTTGTATTCTCTAAAATGTTGTAGAGTAGAAGTATAATGCAGCATAAAAGCAAATACTAATTGAGTACTAGTTATGTTTTACCACTGCAAGATAATCAAATAAATAACTGCATTTTTAGTCTATTGTTTATTTTGTTTTCTATTTTCTGTCACTTGAATACACGAAGAGAGTCACATGACAGCTTAGCTTAACTTTAACCTAAAACCTGCTTCTCTTTTCCTCTTTAATCCAAATGTAAAGAGTAACTGATGCAGCATAAAGCACAACAGAAATTACACCTATCTCGCTGCTTTACTACACCTTGGCTCACTTTGTTTGACAGTTAAAATCAATTTGAATCGACCACGACAGACAGGGGAAACATGCTATGAAAAGTCTTTACAATTAAAATGATATAGTCACACAATAATAATTTAGATTTTTACTGAGCAGGGAGATCTTTGTACCGCTTCATGGTCAGGTAAAACCCCACTGTCTTTTATGTAAATCCTCTAATTTCCCCTGGGGAGTGTGGCAATTGATAAATTGCAACTTCTTATGTCACTAAAAACAAAGCAACCCTAAAATGTGAAAAAGCCTAAGGTGGTGTTACAGCTCCCCGGTTGGTTGCATTTGGCACTTTCACCAAGTCATGTGATTTCCTGGAAACAGCCTGCCTGGCAGATTGGTAATAAATAGTAGGGGATTTTCAGATGACCAAGCGAAAGTTGAAACCATTGCTCCTGAGTGCCATCTAGTGAGAGCAATACAATAACACACAGGCTACTGCAAATTAAAAAAAATATGGTCAGGTCCACAGAAAACCACACCAACGAGAGGCACAGCAACATTTGAAGCCATAGACATTACATTACATTGCATTTAGATGACGCTTTTATCCAAAGCAACTTACAATAAGTGCATTCGACCAAGAATGGTTTCATAGAGCCAAAACATTTCAAGAGCTACTCAACTGGCTTTAGATAAACCAGTCCTTTGTTAGTAGTGCTTTGTTAGTAATTGTATTGCTCGAATTGGAGTCTAAAGAGATGAGTTTTTAGTCTGCGCCGGAAGATGTGTAAGCTTTCTGCCGTCCTGATTTCAATGGGGAGCTCATTCCACCATTTTGGAGCCAGGATGGCAAACCGACGTGTTTTTTCTGATGGAAACTTGGGCCCCCCTCGCAGTGCAGGTGCAGCGAGCCGTTTGGCTGACGCAGAGCGGAGTGCACGTGCTGGGATGTATGGTTTAACCATGTCCTGGATGTAGGATGGAAGGGCCAGATCCATTCACAGCGTGGTACGCAAGTACCAGTCTTGAAGTGGATTTCTAGCAGTGACGGAGCTTACACACGGCGGCGTGCATTGAAGCTTGCCGGCGAGCATGTCTGATGCTCGACCAGCTACGCTTTGCTCCCACAATGCAGTTCGGCAAAGTGTGACGTCACCCCATTCAAAGTGAATGAGCAGAAGTGTTGAAGCTTCAACTCACACCGCCGTGTGTAGGAGCGCTTGCTTGCGAACTCTGGAGCGGTTCATTGCTGGTGTGAACACAGTCCGCACCAAAACATAGCCAGTGAAGGGAGCGGAGGAGCGCTGTGGTGTGGGAAAATGTAGGAAGGTTGAAGACCAGACGAGCCGCTGCATTCTGGATGAGCTGCAGAGGTCGGATGGCACATGCGGGTAGACCAGCCAGGAGAGAGCTGCAGTAGTCTAGGCGTGAGATGAGGAGAGCCTGGACCAGAAGCTGCGTCGCTTTCTGGGTCAGGATGGGACGATGGGACGTATCCTCCTGATGTTGTGTAAAGAGTGTATCTGCAGCCAGGGCCGGCCTTGGTACTGGCAAACTCGGTGATCGCCTAGGGCGCTAGATCTGGAGGGGCGCTGCGCCGGGAGAAGAAAAAAAGAAATGAGTGACCCGAGATCAATGAGTCGCGAGTGGTTAGGCGGGAGAGAAGCGAGCGAGCCGTCCGAAGCGAGCGTGAGAAACCGACACTCGACGCCCGCGGACTATTCAGTCTGTAGCGGGGTGAAAATAGTGAATGTCGCGGGTAGTATTGTCAGGTTTACGTTTTACAACGCGCCGGGGCTCCCACGTTTCCCATTAAACTGACAATAGAGTGTCATAGAGTGAGCGAGTGTGTGGTGATCGGATAATGTAGTTCCGTCTTTTTAATCCGTCTTATTGTTAAAAAATAAATAAAATAATAATTATATATAT